ACAGTATAGAGTTGGGGTCAATGTGCTTGATATTTTTATGTTGCTTTAACAAATATTATGGAATGAATAGATAATATATTGTTTTAACAACTAATTCCAGTGATGGATTCATTCGTTCAGCTTTCAGTAGCAATACATGTGTCCACGGTAAGACAGCCCCGGCATACTTTTTAAAAGATTCTCTTGCTTTCAGTTTTACATCAGCAGCTAGGACTATGCAGAGGATCCTGCCTATGTCCACAATGCCAGGCTTTCATTAGATTTACACATTGGTGATGAATTTCATCTGCTAGGTATGAAGCACCAGATTTCTCTTGAGTACTCTCCAATACAAGCTCAGCCCACCATCCAAATGAGGCGAGATGAGACTTTTAGAAAGGCAGGACAAAGCCATCATTGCAGACTAAAAAGCACTCAGTTCAGTGTTGTCAGACAGGATAAAAATTGAGAAATCTTAATATATGTTTATTAAAAAACAATGTAAAATTTTCATATAATCACAGAAAAGGTTTCAGTAGAATGAAAAGAGATATGCCAGTCAAAAACTGAAGAAAAAGATATCAGATAAAATTAAAAAGTATTATCAGATGGTCTGTAAGAAGACAAAATCAAAAAATAGTAATGGAGTGATTCACGTATCCACTGTGAGCTGGAATTCTTTTCCTTTTTATACTATTTTGGAGAGACAAACTGATATTATTTGCATTTTTTAAGTGTAACTAATTCCTAGTAGGTCTATAGTGTCCCTTGTCAGGAGTGGTGTTATTTTGTTTGAACTGCTTTACATTAATTTAGATGATCAAGCTTCAGTTGTCCTATATCCTTTCTTAATTTTGAACGTATGCATTATTGACATAATTTAACATCTTAGCTTCCTCCTACCATGTAATATGCCATAAGGTGGCATGGGTTCAAGGACTAAGACTTTATTCTAATTGGCTAAAAGTCTGCATGATTAGGAAGCTAAATACGTGAATCAAATATTTAGATAACTAAATATATTTTTTGATTTCAGGAAACTCAGTACTATATATTTTCTAACTAAATATGAACATTTGTTTCATTATTAAGAATTTTTTTTAAAAAAAGGAAGATAAGGAATTTGGACACTGGATCGGCAGCACCATTCTAGTATGTAAGATAGTTGTTACATTTCAGACTATTTCCTGGGCCTAGAATATCTAGAATATTTTGACATGCCCACACTGAAGCCTCCAGAGTTAATATTTTATTCTGTCATACAACAAATTAACAATGTGTGGGGTGATAATATAGTTTTGAGCCCAAGCTATCTAAGGCTATGAGTCAGCTCCAAAGAACTAGTGCCTCAGTTTATTCTGAAAAATCAAAGTTAAATGAATGTATAATTTCTAAATCCAATACTCACATGATAATGTTTTTGTATCAAGAATATCTCACCAGATTGGGGCAACATCAAAATGATAAAGATCACTTTAAAAAAACGTATACCTGAAATATTTGCCATAACTTTTATTACCATTAAATTATATTTATGAGCATCAAGTTATTTTTACTTAAGATGCTACTATATCAGGTTTCATTCATTCTTATAGTGATATTCCTTTTCACATTGTCCTCTGAATAGCCAGCAATGAGAAGAGAGGCAAGGAAAAGTTTGCCTCTCATAGTCCTAAGACCAACTTGGCTCAACTTCAGAGCTACTTTGCAGATTGAGAAAACTTAGATGCATAAAGCATAAAAGCATGAGGTCTGCAGGTAATGGTAATTACATTTCTTTCATTCATCAAAAACAACTTTAAAGCATTCATTTAGACTTTACCATAGAACGGTACTAGTTATAGTTCTATACTAAAATAAAACGCTAACACCAAGCCTGGTAGTGATTTATATAGATTTATTATAGATTTATAATAAAAATGCTATTGGAATTCTATGTTTACACATGCTCCATTTATATACACGCAAACAAATGTCAATATTCGTGGTAAAATTTTAGGGTTTTAAAGAGGCACATTTCCTACCTACCCACCTCCATGTATTCATGACACTAAGATGGGTTTTCATAAGCAATATTTAGATTTGTGAAGGGAAAAAAAATGAATATTTCTAGTATCTATCCTTTTTCCTTTCCAGCTTTTGTTTGAGAAAGGATGCAGTACATAAAATCTAAAACAGAAACTAAGGCTGTAAGACCTTCTATATAATACATGCTCATACTCATGCATGAGTTGACTGCGATAGGTCAGAAGATCTTTGAGCAAAGTAATGCACTTGCATGTGTAAGCACTGCAAATAAGTGATACTCTTCAGACAGACACACACACACACACATACTCATGTTTCTTGAAATAACATGTTAACTGTATTATGTAACCCTAAGAATGTATCACCAGTGAAGACTTTTATGCTGCAACCGCTGATCATAATTAACTAATAAATGCTTCTATGTAGGCAACAAACACCATGAAAAGGAAAATAAAAGCCAGTTATTGTGAAACAAAGACAAATTAAAGATACATAAATATCTTGAGTGTTAATATACAAAGACAGTGATTATAAAAAGATATCTGAAACCACCCACTCTTAAAATAGCCAGTTTCTAAGACTCTATTACTTAGACTTTAAAGGCACCCAAGAGTTGGGTCTTTTCCCAGTCAAAATCTTTCACAGCAGAAAACAAAAGACACTTCAAAGTAGGTACCTGTACTTCAGCTTGCCTGTAAGACTTTTCCTCTATGATTATCTATGCTTTTAATAATCATGCCTAAAATATTCTCTTTTTTGGTTATTACTAAGTAATTTAAAAGTTTTATTCCTTCAGGACTTGGAAAAGAAAAAGTTTTAGCAAGCAAATGCTAATATTTCTGAAACTATCTGTAAATACTTGTCTTTTGGATAAAAATTTATAGCATACAAATAGTCTTCTAAGGACTTGTCTTGGTTTCAGTCCTCTGAAAGGAGAGAGTGGTATACCACTCTCTGTTGTAGATCCTTCTACACTATTTTCTAAATATTTCCTTGCCTATAAACTTTCAGCAGGATAAAGCCCAGCACCTCTTCCCTATCCGTTTATTCCACGGCATAGCAACACCACAGATTTCAGGGTAATTTCCCCAGCAGCCGTGTGAATTGTGACTCACTGTTGATTACACAAAATTAGTATTTGAACTCCTTTCAAGTTTTACATTCATCACATAATTGGGATATAAAGCATTCCATACAGAGAAAGCAGCATTCAAAGGAATATACAGGATGTGCTTAAATAATGCATACTACCAAATTTTACAGATGTCTTTTTATATTCAAATGATATTAAACACACTATCATATTAAACTGAAAACACTTTAGATCTAAAAAAATGTTGTTGCAACAAATGACAGAGTGAGAAATAAGACCAAAATTTATTTTTATAAAATACAGTCTATAATTTCAGGTATAAAATACTACATATAACTATACTTAAATATCTTCTAAATTATAATTTTAGGATTTATAGTTTTAAAAGTTATCTCTGAGTTTCAAATTTAGTATATTACATTCAGATGTATATAATGAATCTTTCTTTTTAAAACTGGAATTGGGCATGAATATAATTTTAAAATGATATTCCTGGAGTCAAAGAACTGCATCTCAGACAACCCTTCTCCTTAACTCATTAGAACCAAATAACTCCCTTAAAACTATACTTCCAGCTGGGCGCGGTGGCTCATACCACCAGCATGTGAGGTGGGGCTCATGCCACTTTGGGAGGCCAAGGTGCGTGGATCACAAAGTCAGAAGTTCGAGACCAGCCTGACCAATTGGCAAAGCCCTGTCTCTACTAAAAATATAAAAATTAGCTGGGTGTGGTGGCATGTGCCTGTAATCCCAGCTACTCAGGAGGCTGAGGCAGGAGAATTACTTGAACCTGGGAGATGGAGGTTACAGTGATCCGAGATCGTGCCATTGCACTCCAGCCTGGGTAACAGAGGGAGACTTTGTCTCAAAAAGAAAAACAAACAAAAAACTATACTTCCTCGCTTTTGAGTGGGTTCTAGTTAGAGAAGTTCATGAGTTGGACTTCATTTTAATGTTTTTTCTGGTTTTTGGATTCCTCTGGGTTATTTTGACATCACTATTATATTGTATCATATCATCTCTCTAAACAAGCTGTTCATTGTATGTTACTGTCAAGTATTTTGCTGAAATATAACCTAAAGGAAGAAATGTTGCTTCTTGCTTTAATTTCCCTTACACATTAGTGACAATTTCAATCATAACAATTGCCAGGTTTGTACTTTGTATTCTGGATTCCTAATTATGAGGGATGATTGAAGGTAATTCAAAAGTGTTTCAAAATTACCTACTGCCAAAATTCTGGAAAATGTCTTTTGCAAAATGGAATGTTAATGCTCTGAGGACTGTATTTGCACTAACATGTTCTGCACTTTTATGGAAGGACAGGGGAAAGGACTATGTTGATCATAAATAATGTGGAAATGTCACTATTGTTCTGCCCTCTGTCTCCAAATATGGAGAATCTATTTGGTTTCTATTTTTAATTATATATATTGGTATACTGTTAAATTCTAAAGCTAAATGGTCTAAATTCAAGAGGGGTAGCCTGATAAATGTTTAAATGTGACAATCATTTTTGTGTAGAATTTATAAAAGTATCACAGACCATGAATGTCTGCATCTGAATGAGTAAATAATGCTTCCTAAGAATTCTCTAAAATGAGCAATATTTTGATGTTTTAGTTATCAAATACCTCTTTATTTTAAACTCATTTGTTGCATAGTTAGTAGATAAGATCAACTCTTGATTTGTTTTATAAAATAGCAAGTATTTATTTTCCTATCACACTTGAGACTTTGATAACTTATTCTTACCCTTATCTGCAAAGAAATAGTTGGATATCTTGATTTATTTCTATTTAAATTGGTAAAACCAGCTGCAACAACCAGTATTTGCAAGTGAGTGCACACACACACAGACACATACAGACACACATACATACAAAGAATAACAATAAAATAAAGAAGCCTATTAGGGAAGTATATTAATAAACTTCATTACAGAGAGATGGCCAAGAAAGAGAGCCATGACTCCTTTCTCCATTTTTATAAGACAGAGCACAAGTTGCATTTTGCAAGGCTACGGAGTTGTATTTTTTTTTCCATTTATATCATTTCTCAGTAAGAATAAGACTCTTTTTGGTTGCATATGCATCTACAGACTCTAAATGTAGGCAAATAAGAACTATGAGAACAGTAAGTTACTTTTGGCTACTTCTGTTATGCTGATCAGGTGAGAAAAATCTGGGATTCATATTAGGAGCCTTTCTGAATAGTTTAATTCCTTTACAGCCCCCATTAGCTGTCAGCTACACCATGGATATTGTCCATGTGCACTTTGAGGTAGTCATTCCTTGTAAACTTCTTATGGCAAAACTGGCATTCTGCCAGTGGACGGTTGGGATTATGAGTCATCTTGTGTCGAATCAGCATTTTCTTCAGGCTAAAAGCCAAGTCACAAACCTAGAAAAGACCCAAAGACCAACCATATTATACTGAAAAACCTGAAGATATACCAATTTATCATTTATACAATACATGTTATGCAAATTTCTATGATCAAATATGTAGTAACAGGCATAAAAACAAAAATCACTCTTGGACAAACTTTAACACCCACACTATTGGGCAAAGAAAATTAATAAGAGTTACTGCATTTAATCAGTGTCCTTTGCACCTCAACCACCCTTTCCTTTTCCCAGCTGTTGGATTTAAACATCTCCAGAGAAACAACTCCCTGGGGCAACAATACCTTTCTTATCCTAACGGAATGTATTTGCCATTTTATAAACTATTGAAGCAAAATGCTTTATAGTCTAGATGGCATCTCTCCCTATAACCTAAAGGGCATAAGACATTTCTCACTGGCGATCCCCTCAGTTTAGTACCACTTGTAAAATGAAAAGCTAATGTTGTTTTAAATATCATAAGCAGACATTTATTACTCGCTATTTCATTTATTATTTCTTATATACACTTTAACTAAGGAAGGTAACAAGTTTATTTCATATAAGCTCTGCCACATCCCCACCTGGCTCAACATGCATGAAACAGCCCCATAACTAAAAATATTAACACAGAAAATGCAAGGCACAACTATCCAAGTTACAAAAAAGTAAAATGGAATTTAAAATTTGATGGTTATTCACAAAAATTCCACTGACATGAAACTCTTCAAAAGCATATCCATTGTGAAATAAGACATGTTAAATAAGTAAAATCACCATAAAAATATAATGAGAGAGGAAATTGCTTGTAAAAAATACTGTAAAGAAAGCTGGAGTTTTAAATGAGGTTAGGCTTGGAAAAATCTTATGGCAAAACAAAACAGAACAAAAAAATCCTTGCCCTCTTTCTTTATGGAGGAAAGAAGGTTTACATTCACAGTAATAAGAAACTCAGAAAGCCTTAGGCCCCTAATTTGGTAAGATGGGGTAATCCAATAATAATGAATTTTAGCACAGCAGCAGCAGTATAGCGTGGTACAAAGAAAATAAGCTACAGAGTAAGATCACTTTCCAAGGAAGCCTGCTGTGACCTCCCAATTTAAAACTGAAACCTGTCACCCTTTCTGGATTTCCTTTACTCTGCTCAAATTTACTTTTTACTCAGTGCTTGTCACTTTCTTTCCCAATGTGTCTGCCTCCTCTCTTGTTTAGTATCTCTCTCTACTCACTAGAGTCTCAGCTCCATGAGGGCAGGGATTTTTGCGTATTTTATTCCCCTATGTATCCTAAAGGGTACAACAATTTCTATAGAGTAAGCACTAGATAAGTATTTGTTGAAGAACAACGTGGAGTTTGAATTCTGACTCTATTATTTGCTAAGGACATTAAATGGACCAAGCATGCTTTTAACTTTAGTTCCCTCATCTGTAAAATGACAATGTACTTGCCTCACAGGATTATTAAGACTAAACAAAATACTCCGTGTAAATAAGGACTATACTGCTGACACTCAACTGTCAGTGCACATTTTTTTTTTCTCTTTCATCTCCTCAGCATATTGGAAAGAATTGACAAATGTTAACGAAAGAAAGACAAGTCCAACACAAGTGGAATATAAAGAAAACACCACTGTTCTCAAGACTGGCAGTCCCCTGGAATATACCAGTGGCTTTGCAAACAAGTAATTTCCCAAAACAAATATCATGCAGCCAATTAGTCTCAGGAAATGACGGTTTTCTTTGGAATAGTTTGTAAGCATAAGCTTTGTTAAGTCAGTATCTCTGAGGCAACTGCAAAACAAAGCCAAGTCCACATTGCAAAAATCAGAGGAAAAGGGTAAAGACCCAGGAAACATGAAACAGCATAACATACGATGACAGACTATAAAGTATATGAATTATAATAATCAATATAAAAGTATTAAGTATGCTTATTAAAGGATAAGATTCAATTAGGATAAAAAGCAAAATACAAACACATACTGTACTTAAGAAATACATTTACAAATATAATACACAAACAATTTTAAAAGACAGATTAGAGTGTGCATAAAAGTATACAAAATGATGCTGAAAGAGTATAATGGGTACTAAATAGTACTTTCTCAAAGAATCTTGGGTAGACAGAGAGACAGCAAGCCTTTGAAGAATCAGGAGTATAACTTTTATACTCCTCCTAGTCAAAGATTTATATACAGGATGCTCATATAGAATAATATATATAGGTGAAAACTACAAATGACTTACTTGGCCAATGTTAATGAGCAAATTCATTTTCATATAATCAGATGTAGAAATATTTTCCAGCTGTTAAAAATACTAATCTTTGTTTTTTGAGTCAAGATCTCTCTCTGTTGCCCAGGCTGGAGTGCAGTGGCACAATCTTGGCTCACTGCAGCCTCAATCTCCCTGGACTCGTATCTTAGCCTCTGGAGTAGCTGGGACTACAGGTGGATGCCATCATGACCAGAAAATTTTTAAAAAACCTTTTAGCTATGAGATTTTACCATGTTGCTCAGACTGATCTCAAAGTCCTGGGCTCAAGCAATCCTCCTACCTCGGCCTCCCAAAGTGCTGGGAAAACAGACGCGAGATACCACATCCAGCCAAAATTGAAATTTCAAAAATACTTAAAGGCAAGAAGAAATGTAAAGAAAAGAAAGCAGAATAATAAGATTAATATGACTTAGTCTACAATATTGAAATAAAAATAACTGTATCTGTATTAATAAGTATATGAAGGAAATATCAATAGATTAATATTAATTTAGTTGACATCGGTTGGGAAATGGGGGATCATTTTATTTGTCTTCATTTGTCTCTGTATTTCCTCCTTCTTCTCTAATTAAAAGGCACATTTTTATAATCAGAAAGCAAATATTTTGGAATGAAAAATACAGTTAGTTGGGTGATGGGTCCATGTCCACTTAGCAGCAAGACCATTCACATCAGACTTCTGCCTTGGACTTCTTAACTCTCCAAACAGCTCTCTAAAATGTTATGGATAATCTGCACATTGCTTACTCCTGGCACTTCTGAGCCCTCATTTAACATGAATTCTTGGCATCATTGGACATGCCTCACCACTTTCCTCTGTCATTCCTTCAGTTTCCATAATGACCTACTCTCCTTGTTTTCCTTCTAATTCTCTGGCCTTTCATTCCCCTTTGTTTGCTGGTACAGTATAGGCTTTTCCTCCATCCTAAGTCTGCATTTCAGTGCCCAATCCTTGGGCCTCTTCTCCATTCACTAGGTGTTTTCTCCCCTGGTGATCTTAATCATAGCCATGCCTTTTGTTACCACATATATGGAGATCACTAGTAGCAAGTAATATTTCTGATCCAGTCCCCCTTCTGATATCGACAGTGGAGTATTTAACTGACCACTTGGATAATTCACTGGTACTACAAACTTACTATGTCTAAAACTGAACTGAGTTCTTGCCTCTCAAATCTAAGTCTCAAAAAATGGTCCCACCCTCTACCTGGTTTGACTGCAAATGTGACAGTTAACCTTAACCCAATGTCTCACTCTTCCCATTTTATTTAATTAATCACGAAGTTCCACTGGTTCTTCTTTGCCCATTTTACTCAAAGACATGAAGACACTCAATCGTCTCCATCTCCACTGCTACCACCTGAGTCAGAGACACTAACTGGTTACTTAGACCAGTGCTTCTCTCATTAAGAAAATATTTTAGCATGCAACATGCAACTGTAGTATGTGTATTTTTAGATAAAGCATACATATGCACTACTGCATTTATATATTATATTAAAGACATATAAAATTTTGAAGATAAAGACAAAATAAATATTTTAATGTGAAATTAATATTTATGGCTTTATATTTTCACTAGGCAAGATTTTAAGATGGGATACATATTTAGGACCAGAGCCATCTTTAACAAATATATAGGCAAATATATATGTATTCCAGATGTCTCCTTAATAATTTCCATTTTTGGCTTACTTCTCACCACATATGATAATGTCATTGTATTTTATCTCAAATTGCTACAGACTAGTAGTATTAACTCTGCTGCTTTCTTTTTGTTACCTTGTGCTTATATCATTAATATTATTTTCAATCTGTGGTTTCTGTACAGTCTTCTTTTAGCCACTTGTTCATTTTGTAAGCATTACTTTATTTAAAAACAGGTAATATAATCCATATCTCTGTTAATCCAAGAGACACAAATTGTAATCCTAACAGCACGCTAAAAGCAAAGAAGTGCATTGGGACTGTCAGCCAACCAGCATCACCATAGAATTGATGTTCTTCACTTTGATCACATGTGATACTGCACCTCAAAAGAGACAAGCCAACAGTGCCCAAGCCAGGGCACCAAAGTCAAATAATCTATTTAATGACAATAACTTTTAATTTTGTTCCTGTTTTTAAAATAGCCACATACAATAAATACTTAGGAATACATCTAACCAAGGTGGTGAAAGATCTCTAGAAGTAGAACTACAGACCACTGCTAAAAGAAATCACAGATGACACAAACATATGGGAAAACGTTCCATGCTCTGAGATTAGAAGAATCAGTATCATTAAAATGGCCATACTGTTCAAAGCAATCTACAGATTCAATGTTATTACTATCAAATATCAAACAAGCAGTATCATTTTTCAGAGAACTAGGAAAAACTATTCTAAAATTTACATAGAACAACAACAACAACAACAACAGCAAAACAGAAGCCCAAATAGCCAAAGCAATCGTAAGCAAAAAGAACAAAGCTGAAGGCATCACATTACCCAATTTCAAACTATACTATAAGGCTACAGTAACCAAAACAGCAGGATACTAGGACAAAGTCAAACACATAGACCAATGCAACAGAATAGAGAACCCAAAAATAAAGTCATACACCTACAGCTATCTAATCTTTGACAAGGTTAACAAAAATAAGCAACAGAGAAAGGACTCCCTATTCAATAAACAGTACTGGGATAGTTGGCTAGCCATACATAGACAAATGAAACTAGATCCCTATCTTTCAACATA